CCACAGGGGACATGTATCAACACAGAGGACAGGTGTCAACACATAGGACAGGTGTCCTCTGTGTTGATACATGTCCCCTGTGTTGATACATGATCATTTTCTCCGGTTCTCTCAGACGGTGAGATGATGTGGCACAAATTTCAGTGTCTGTTCCGAGCCACTGAATTTGATGTTTCATATTTTGTAATCCACGATCATCCAAATTATTAGAAACAAAACCTTGAAATATTTCACTGTGTGTGTAATGAATCTTTGTAAAATGTTTCTTTCTGATGTGAATGGAAAAAAAAAACTTTTTAAGATGTTCTAATTGTTTTAGATGCACCTGTAGAGGTGGACAGAGAACATGTGGACAACTGTGTGGAGTCTCACAGGAATCATCTGCTTCAAGATGGTCACCTTCAGAAATAAAACCAACCTGGGCCGTCAACATTTTGGGGACGAGTTGGTTGCACGTCCTAGGGAGGTCCGGTCTTCAGCAGGATCAATAAACTCTTTAGATAAACTAGAAAACCTTGAGACAGAAGCTGGACATGTTCAGGGCAATGAGCCCACTGCTCTTCATCACGGACAATCAAGCCCATCCCCCTCATGACACCCTACAAAGGCAGAGAAGCTTATTTTCAAATACTCAGCTCTGCTGCCACAACAAATCATTCCCGTCCTTTCTTTACAACAGCTCATCTCTCACTGACAAGTAAACTCATACATGTACACATATAAATACATACATGTACACACGTTGTGTACAGTTTACTGTTATGTTGCAACATCTCCGTATTCATCAGTTAGTGTTTGCTTTTGTTTCATGTTTTAAATTTTGAACTCGTCTGCTGCCGTGACAAACTAATATCCATCAGAGAATCAATAAAGTATCTTTCTACTCCTTTATGCACATCCACCCATGTACTTTTTTATTGGTATACTCTCTTCTATAAAACAAAACCATAAATATTACTGTTCTTTTAATTGTAATTTAGTCTTAATTTACAAAAGCAACAGAGGGTTAAATAATTTCTTCACCCACTTTACATATTAATAAAACCGATTTAAAAATATAAACAGCATTAACTTGTGGGGAATAAAATGTTGAACTTAAAATGACAACCGTGTGTTTAGTTTTGAACGGTCTCATCGAAAAGCATCAAAAATACGTGTAATTCTGTCTTCTGCGATTTCTAACAAAACGTAACGTTGTTTCAACTTTGAAACTATACCATGTGCGTATTTTTGATGTACCAGTACATGAGTAATACACCTGAACATGCAGTTCTGAGACAGGAGGCTGCTGGTGATCTGTGATGTTTATCATTTATGAGTGGAGGTTTAAAGAATCAGGCAGAACATTTCTTCTCCACAGATGGGACTTTCTGAGAACCTGACCTTCATCTGTGGCTTTAACAGAGGTCAGAGGAAATCCCGTACATCCTTCCACCATCATCTCCCAGCAGAAAGGAATCCTGACCAAGCCGCTGGTTTCTAGAGGCTTTCCGGCTCGGGGAGTATTTTCTCAGTTACACACGTTCTGCTGTAGGTGCAACTTGTCAACACCTTCAAAGTCACAAATTCAAACCTGACGCTTATTTAAGGAATTACTCTGTAATGTACACTGAATGGTTTTTTTTAACAGAAAAATAAATATGCAAATAAACACCTTTAATAGAGAAATATCAAAACATTTATTTAGGAAAACAGCAGAGCACAAACAAACTTTGTGGACAGTAAATGTGTAGAAGCTGAAGAGCAGCGGCCGAGCTGAGGACACGGCCGTCACATCTGAGCCTGGAGGTAATGCTCATAATTAGCTCGAAGAACAAACTCAAAGTAAGGTTTGGATTTCAGAGCGCTCAGCTCGTCCAGCTCCAGCAGCTCTTTGACATCAGGCAGGTACGTCTGCAGAGGAACACCTGCAAGATGGGGGAGGGCAGGTTTATTTCCTTACACCTGCTTCATTGAAAGTTTGTGAACTCTTTATAGTTTTCTACATTTCTGCATCAATATGACCAAAAACATCTTCAGATTTTCACTCAAGTCCTAAAAGTAGATAAAGAGAACTCGGTTAAACAAACGAGACAAAAATATTATACTTGTTTAATGATGAAAATGATCCAATATTACATATTTGTGATGGTAAAAGTATGTGAATCTTTGCTTCCAGTATCTGGTGTGAGCTCATGACCACAGGCGAGGGTAGCAACGTAGACCGACCAGTAAACAGAGAGCTTTGCCTTACAGCTCAGCTCCCTGTTCACCACAACGGACCGGTACAGAGTCCACAATACTGCAGATGCTGCATCAATCCGTCTGTCAATCTCACGCTCCATTCTTCATATTTATGCATAAATACAAAAAAAAAAATTTAAAGAGTTCACAAACTTTCAAGTATGTTAACAAAATATCTCATTAATAATAATAATTTCATAAACCACTGAATAGATTTTAACTCCTCAACTCTGAAAAAGTAATCAATAGATGAACATCTTGATCTTTAACTGGTTTACTTTTAGAGTCAAGCAGATTCAAGATGGCTGCCACAGTTCATGGACCTTAGCAGACACAAAGGTGCTTTGACTCGGTCAGTTTTAGATAATAATGTCTAACTTGGTGTGGTATCAGCTGAGGCATATTTTTCAAGAACAGGCCTTTAATGCAGTGTATGCAAACAGGTGCTGCTCATAAAATTAGAATTTCATGAAAAAAGTTGATTTATTTCAGTAATTCCATTCAAAAAGTGAAACTTGTATATTATATTAATTCATTACACACAGACTGACATACTTTAAATGTTTATTTCTTTTAATGTGAATGATTATAACTGACAACTAATGAAAACCCCAACTTCAGGATCTCAGAAAATTAAAATATTACTTAAGACCAATAAAAAAGTATTTTTATAAATGTTGGCCAACTGAAAAGTATGAACATGAAAAGTATGAGCATGTTCAGCATCAATACTTAGTTGTTGCTCCTTTATCTGGATTACTGCAGCAATGCGTCGTGTCATGGAGTGGATCAGTCTGTGTCACTGCTCAGGTGTTCTGAGAGTCCAGGTTGTTCTGATCGTGGCCTTCAGCTCTTCTGAATTGTTGTGTCTGGTGCATCACATCTTCCTCTTCACAATAACACCATGGATGTTCTATGGGGTGAAGGTCAGGCCTGTTTGCTGGTCAAATAAGAACATGGACACCATGGTCCTTAAACCAGGTATTGGTAGCGTTGGCACCGTGTGCAGGTGCCAAGTCCTGCTGGAAAATGAAATCTGCATCTCCATAAAGTTGTTCAGCAGCAGGAAGCAGGAAGTCTCTAAAACTTCCTGGTAGATGCTGCTTTGACCTTGGACCTCAGAAAACACAATGAACCAACATCAGCAGATGACATGGCACCCCAAACCATCACCAGTTCTGAGCTCTGGAGAGCAGGGTAGGATGATGTCTGTGGTGGATGGGCGTGGCTTTGGATCACATGGTGACGGTAGTGATTGTAAGATCACCTGTTTGCTCACCTGGTGAGTGTGTTAGTGAGTGGGTGATGTGATGGGGGAAGTC